ATAACCATACGGAAGGGTATCACACCAACCAACACATTAAAATAACTAAGAATAAGAGTGTCACACCAATCAACACGTTAAAATAACCAAGTAGAAGGGTGTCACACTAACCAACACATTACAATAACCAAGAATACGAGTGTCACACCAACCAACACGTTTAAATAACCATACGGAAGGGTATCACACCAACCAACACATTAAAATAACTAAGAATAAGAGTGTCACACCAATCAACACGTTAAAATAACCAAGTAGAAGGGTGTCACACTAACCAACACATTAAAATAACCAAGAATACGAGTGTCACACCAACCAACACGTTTAAATAACCATACGGAAGGGTATCACACCAACCAACACATTAAAATAACTAAGAATAAGAGTGTCACACCAATCAACACGTTAAAATAACCAAGTAGAAGGGTGTCACACTAACCAACACATTAAAATAACCAAGAATACGAGTGTCACACCAACCAACACGTTTAAATAACCATACGGAAGGGTATCACACCAACCAACACATTAAAATAACTAAGAATAAGGGTATCACACCAACCAACACATTAAAATAACCAAGAATAAGGGTGTCACACCGACCAACACATTAAAATTACCAAGCAGAAGGGCGTCATGCTAAGTATGACATTAAGGATACAGTATCCTAACTCTATCCTACACTTCCATATATATAATAAGTATTCCCACCGGATGATCTCTGATTTATAGTTCCACATGAAAAAAAAATCCAGCGCAATATGACAATTTCCATCTGCACTACTGACTATTATATTAACTGGTTTGTTCCGAAAGCTCTGAGAATTTTCTAGAAGACTTATCTAGTCGCTACCATGTCTTCGGCCTCTCTAGAGCATACTAACCATTTGTCTGCTAGCAATAACATGAAATACGGTTTGTACGAATACTTTCACACCTATTTATATTCTTCTTAGCCATAGGCATAGACCTACGATCCCTTTTTTGTCTACAAGTTACGAACTCAGTTCCAGATTCATGGGTTTGCAAGTACTTAGAAATTTCATAATTACTTCGGAAACAGTTAGGAAATGAATCGTATATATTAATTCACATACAATGTGAATTTGTTTGTTTGTCCACGAACACGATAACAGTTTTCAAGCTAGTACGACGGAACATGCGGATTCGAAGTGGCTGGAGATGATCCTATGATCCCTTTTTGCACAAGGTGCCATTTCAGGTTATTTAACCTGGCCATTTTGCCCATTTGTCGCACAAGGTGCCATTCAGGTTATTTAACCTGGCCATTTGCCCATTTATCGCACTAGGTGCCATGCAGGTTATTTCACCTGGCCATTTTGCCCATTTGTCGCACAAGGTGCCATTCGGGTTATTTAACCTGGCCACTTTACCCATGTGTTGAATAAGGTGGCGATCGATTGGTGAGAACCTGGCCATTTAATCAATGTGTTGCACAAGGTGGCGTTCTGATTTTCAGAGCCTGGCCATTTAATCAATGTGTCGCACAAGGTGGCGTTCGGGTTGTCAGAGTCTAGCCATTTAATCCATGTGTCGCACAAGGTGCCATTTGAAAGTACCAAACATTACAAAGTTCGTCACTTCTATGATTTTCTCGAGATAATGCGCAGTAAAAAAAATCATGAAATAGTTTTGTATAATTTAGTTTAGTAAATAACAAGGTTTATCAACAAGCTTGTTTTTCTAGATTTTCTTACTTTAACACCACGTTCGTTTTTTTTTCAGTTACTTGTCTAACAGAGAAAATACACAGGGATCAGGTAGTAGTAGGAATGTTCTCCACCACATTTATATTGTCGTAGTACAGTTTCGTTTCTTTTGTCACAAAAGACAACTTAATTAAAATTGATTGAAAAAAGACCAAATAGATTACAACATTCTCTTTCTTTCTATTGCGCGGATTTTCAATCTAGTGTTTTATTTTCACAATGAAACGAAAACAAAAATTTCGTGAGCAATTAGAACGACCTTCCTGTGGTATGTAGCTTGTTACATGATGAAATTCTTAACAGGCACGCCTTCCATTATTCCAGCGAACATGTTACATACAAAGTAAAGTTCGTGTGAGCGTACTCTAATAAACAAAAACTATCATTACAAGATGAGCAGCAAAGTGTGCAAAACAGCACAGAGGACAGCGATGTTATCATAAGTAAAGCAGCACAGAGGACAGTGATGTTATCACAAGTAAAGCAGCAAAGAGGACAGTGATGTTATCATAAGTAAAGCAGCACAGAGGACAGTGATGTTATCATAAGTAAAGCAGCAAAGAGGACAGTGATGTTATCATAAGTAAAGCAGC